AAATTCAATATGAGAGTGGAAAAAATGCAATTTCAAGGACATCCTTGCTCCCAATGCATGATAATTCTGAAGCATGGTTGTTACGATTTCTTTGTAGTTGTCAGCACGATAGTTTCCAAGAAAATTCTTTGACACATTGACAAATGATTCCCATGCTTTTTTCTCCAGTGGGTTCATTGTTTTGGTGAATTCGCTATCATTAACTAGTATACGAATTTGTGGTCCATTCAAGACACCTGCTTTCAACTTGGCTTCGGAAACCACACCACCTAGTTTCTGAGATAAGTATAGAGTTCCAGCACCGAATTGATCCATAGCTTTGATGAAATTTTTAGCCAAACCGAGCTTTAGATGCAGTGGAGGCAAAAATATCTTTTCTGGATCTACAAGCGGATTGTGAGCACAGTTAAACCTTCCAGGCGCATCTCTTGGTCTTGTCGGCCAATCCTTTCTCACATAGTGCTCTGCATCAGCTCTGCTGTTCCACAAGCACAAAAAGCACATGTGCTTTGTGTAGCCACTCTGAAGGCCCAGTAGTAAACTGATGACTTTGAGATCGCCACATATCTTCCACTGGTGTTTCTCATACTCTATAGCGGCCAACAGAATTTTCATTGTTTCATAGCTCTCAGTCATTTTTGTTGCGTGTGCTATTGGGACAGATGGAAGCCGATTGCCATTGTGTAAAAGAACAGCTTTCAGAGAGTCTTTTCCTGAGTCTATAAACAGCCTCCAATCCTCTGTCTTGTATGTTTCAGACTTGCAGAGTTGTTGCATGAGAGATACTGCGTCCTCGCAATAACAAAGGTTGTTTGCCATCTTGAAAAATGCAGACAGCTGTCTATGTCGGTAACGCGCTGTAGTGATATGCACTCCATCTTCTAGCAGGTTACGCTGCTTTAGTCTGGATCCCAAAACTTCAGCCTTTTCTTTTGACAAGTTTAGGTCCCTGATGAGATCATGAAGCGCTTCTTGAGTAAATAGTTTAGGCCTGGTATTTTCAGAGTCATCCTGGTAGTCGTTTTCCATTGAGATAGAGGTAGAATCGGAATCACTCAATTCTTGTTCAGTCGGTGGATTTGGGACTGGAAGTTCAGCACTGTGCGGTACTGGTCGGATTGCAGAAGCAATATTGGGGTACTGTACCTTGCCTCGTGTCTTGATTTTTATTCCCTTAATATTTGTGAGACAGAAGTAGCAGTCACTACTGTGGTCTTTAGGTTCACGCCATATCATTGGTACAGCAAATGGCATTCCTGAACTTCGTTTACCACACATCCACTCGCTCAGGTGGTTAACACAAGACTTACAGGCTACATGAGGTGCCCATTTCTTGTCTTGGTCACCCAAATGACATTTGAAGTAACTTTTGTAGTTCAGTCGAACAGCTTTTGTGATTGGTTTCTTGAGGCTACCAGGAGTGAAGGCACCACATATGTAGCAAAAACTGTCAGCACCGTTCACACACTTGCGACGTTCCATGTTTTGTTAATTTCAGAGAAATTACAAATCATGCAGGTGTAGATATGCAATATCATGAATCAGCAAACTGAAACAAACAAAAAAGCACAAATCAGGACAAAATAATTGCATAAGTGGAGCCAATGAGCATATAAATTACTGTATGAATAGCATGGTACACTAAATATATAGATATGCTGGTTCTGGAAAACTGAGCCTGATACAGCTATACGAACGTCATAATTGAGTTCAGCACATACAATTACACTAGAATCAGACTGTTTTGATCCAGAACCATGAGAATTTTTTTTTTATGTTGACCAGTGATATATATATATATAATTTGACTGGAAACACAGAAAAAAAGCATTTATGTTGAAGAGTCTCAAACAAGATGTTCCTTCCTCTGAACCGGTAAACAAACTGACGCCAAGCTTGGTGTGTTGAGTGCTGTTTAGCGCGCAAAAAACTAGTTTCCTGTACTTCAATTATGTTCAATAATTGTTAAAATGACTAAAAAATTTAATATAAAACTTTTAAAATTATTGAATAGTACAGTACAACCTTCTTGATATTTACTAAAATGGTAAGGAATTTAAGCCCTAAAACCGATTACAGTATACTGTATTGACGGACTAATACTACAGCTGGTGAGCAGGCAAATGCAGGCGAAAACATGTTGGAAAAAATTTGTAAGGAATTCGTTAACCGAAGTGAAGAATCTTATGGAAGGTAATTCGTTAACCGAAATTTCGTTAAAAGAGGCGCTCGTTAACCGAGGGATCACTGTACAGTTTGTGTGGTTCATTCATTAATGACATGCCAGAAGCTATACACTCCTCCATAGAAATGTTTGTGGACAATGCCAAGTTATTTAGGGAAATTATGAACCAAACAGACTGTGAAGAGCTGCAGAATGATCTCTATAAGCTACAAGAATGGCCGAGGAAATTGCTGCAAAGATTCAATGTCATGAAGCACAAAATGATGCACCTGGGTCACACCAACAGTAAGGAGGTGTATCACATGTCACAACGTGAAAAGGATCAATGCGAGAAGGTGAATCAAGCAACAAAACTAGTAGGTCTTAGAAGAAGGTCATTCAAATATCTGGATGTCCAGTTGCTCGTCACGATCTTCAAGAGTGAGGTGCTTCCCCGTCTGGAGTACTGTCACCCCATCTGGTCCTCAAGGTTATGTTAGAGACTGTCAATTGATTGAAAATATCCAAAGGAGGGCCACCAGACTGGTGCCTAGTCTATGGAACCTCAGTTACCCAGAGTGAATGGAGCACCTGCAACTACCTAGCTTATACTACTGACAGGCAAGGGGCGATCTAATCGAAGTGTATAAATATCTCAGGAGACACAGGGGGTCACTGCTCAAGGTTAAAGGAGCCATAAATCCAAAAAACTGTAAGGGCAAGCTTTTTCGGAGTGAGAATTGTGAACTCTTGGAACAATCTGCCAGAGAGCGTTGTGACAGCACTGAGTGTGATCTCATTCAAGGCCAGACTTGACCAGCACCGGAGCCAGCACATGCCCAGTATGTGCCAACAGTGCGTAACAGAGACGTGACCAACTGCCCAAGCAGCTAATGAGCTAATCAGTGGCGAAGAGGATAGAAGTAAAAACTATTGAATATTGTTTTTATCTATTTATATAATGTAACGATATAAATGACATAAAACTGCACATAAAAACAATTAATAAATGCATCATGTTTGTACAGGTATTAGGTTAATGTGCAAATGTCTCTGCAGTCAGTGAATGGAGGCCCCACCTGGGATCACAGCCTCAAGTTAAAGATGTCACAAGTAAAAAATTACTGTATGTCAGAATTATAAGCTCTTGGAATAACCTGCCAGTGATTGTTATGTCAGCACCAAGAGTGAGCTCATTTAATACCAGGCCTGTCCAACAGTGGTGCATGTTAAGGTATATTCAGAAGCCTGTAAATGCCCACTACTTGTCAAAAGTGCCTAACAGAAAACAGATTGACAGTGGTGGGCACAGCTAAACAAAAAGTTAGCTTTGCTAACTGCTAATCTGCAAACTAAAAAGTTAACTTCGCTAACACCAAACCGCTAAAAAATTTAGTGTTAGCTAACGCTAACTTTTATTATATGAATTTAGCGTCTTTTTTTTTTTTGCTCTAAACCCTTGAAAACAGACCTAGAGGGCTGAAATTTTCATATGTTGTCTTGTAGCTTAAACATAAGAGCTTTCCAAAAAGGTATGCCAAGATCAGATAATGATCAAGGTGTACACAAATAATTAAATGAACAAATGAAATTAAACATTAGTTTACATTCAAGTTTCAACATACACTTTATAATCTTTAATTACTGTACGAAAATACAGAAAGTATTAAACGAATCCAAAAACTATAGTACTGTATAGCATAGGTAGCCACTGCAGGCTCCTCAACAGGCCCACCTGGCCCAGCATTGTCAGGCGGAACAAAAACGTCTTCACCTTCCATAACAATAAGCGATAGCGTACGCTGCTGTCGCTAACACTGTAAGACTGCTTAGACTGTCTGTAACGTGACAACATCGTAAGTGAACTGAACTCAGAACTGCGGAATTACACAATGCTGCTCAGCTGCTGCAGTGCGGCGTCAACAAATCATGTCTTGTCACGTTTACACGTAGTAACACGCAGTCAGCCAAGCGTGCCTGACTGGCTGTTGGAGACACGCATTGCGGCGTCACACGCTTACAACAGACAGGAACAAACATGTATAAATTTTGTTAGCGGAACTAAATTTATCGGAAGCTAATTGGTCCGCTAATGGTTTCCAAAGTTAGCGAAAACGCTAATCCACTAACGAGAGTTAGCTTCTCTAATTAGCGGTTAGCGGAACCGTGCCCACCACTGCAGATTGACCACCCAGGGGCCAGCGTTTTTAGAATAGAGTATTAGTTATATATTAAGTTACCTTTTCTGCTACAACCACTGATGACAAACTCTTGCAATGATATTGTGTTTACCAGGTATACTTAGTTCTCTCATGGTCCAGCATGATGGTTCATAACTTTATCACCCAGGAGCCTGCACAGTATAACCAAAGCCTGCACAGACTAACACTCAGCAACATACAGGCACCAACTAAAGTCCTGTAGCCTCTCCTCTTGAACTACAAACCCCAAGCTTTGGGCTCATGAGTCTGAATCTCCGGGTTCATGAAACAGCAGGAGAAGCAACAGGACTTTTGTGGGTGACTGTACAGTAGTAGAAGATTGGCTGCATATTGGACACTTTTGTTAATATTTGGCATAATTTTTTTGAGTCAGGCAGTTAAGGCAGATTGAAATTTTAACATCTATTTACTCCCATTTGTCTTTGTATTATGTTATGTGTTTTATTAAAGTTCTTATTCTGACTTAATTTATGATGAAAAGCTTCGTTCAGCAGCTATAATCAATCCTATATATATAACCTACAAGTAAATCACACACAAACACACATTGACAGATAACTCTGATAATTACAATATAAAACAAGCTTGGGAATAAAAAAAGTATTTAAACAAAGTTTTCTTTGTGCAATATGTATTTAAAGAATAATCTGATGTAATACAGCTTGTGCATACAAAAAAATCCAAAAGACTTTTAACGGACAGCTTTTGAGAATATAGTACTACAGGACAGATTTTTCATTTTTATTCATAGATCAATAGTGTTACTCTGTACATGAACCAGGAGTGGAAGATAGTGTTGTTCACAGGTGAATCTTGCACATTATTGAGAGAAGGTCCATCATGTATTAAGTGTGACCTGTGAAAGGAGTTGTCATTCTTGCTGCAAAGGTTGACATGTCATCCATGGCTCATGCCAAGTATTGCCCACAGATTAAAACCACAAAAAAAAGGAAGAGAAAAAGATACTTTTGATGAAACGATAAATACTGTAACTATGAAATTAATTTGAAAGGGAATTTGTTCCTCAAATGCAAATTATTCCACTTACTATACATATACTGTGAGAAACTATGACCAAGAGTCATACATCCCAGATGAGGCAGATTGCTGGACCACAGCTACATCACAGTGTTCGTAGACTCCAATGGAAGCCAAATGAAGTCACGGTGATGAACTACAGTATCTACATTCCTAATGGTTACACTCTGGTCTGAGTTCCACTTGATTTTGGCTCTAAGTGGGAGCTACAATATCTATCTTCTTGTCAACAAATCTTGGGTCCTATATAACCCAAACAATTTCCAATTAACAGCATAAGCAAATGCTTGTGTGTGAGGGGCACTTAAGCCAAGTCTTAATATGAACACTAGTTGTTCAAAACTAAGATGCTTAAATTGGTTTCTATTAAAATCCCAATCAAGGGTTAACAAGACACAGTGCCAGCCTTAGGTCAACCAGAATTAGCCTCAGGTCAACCAGGATGGCCTTAGGTCAGTTAGGGATAGCCTCAGGTCAGCCAAGGATAATCTTAGGTCAACTAGGATGGCCTTGGGTCAGCTAAGGATAATCTTAGGCCAAACAAAGCTAGCCTAAGGTCAGCTAGGAAGATCTTAGGTCAGCCAGGGTGAGCCTTACTTCAGGTAGGGATAGTTTTAGGTCAGCCAAGGTGAGCCTTAGGTCAGGTAGGGATAGCCTTAGGTCAGCCATGGTGTTCCTTAGGTGAGCCAGAGCCCCTAACAAGGCAACACCCTCCCTTCCAGCTAATATAAATCAAGGCCAAATAAACTACCATGATATATTTATTCATCTAAACTGTAAGACTTCATTTACATTTCACTTTGGAAGTGGAATGCCCAATAGGTTAATACATTTCTACAAAATAAAGGGCCCTACCCCATCCCAGGGCCCCCAGCAATGGCAGGACATAGTAAGCCAACCCTTGTAACACATTCCACCCTAGTTTAATAACAGGACATGATGACACAGTAGAATTGGGTAAAATTATGCAACCCAATCTTCACATTAACCCATTAAAGAGTGAAGATTTACACCAACCACTATGAGGAAAGTGTGAAACACGCCAACAACATACAAGACGTACTGTTGTGGAATGTATGTAGTAAGTTGATCAGCCTGGCACCTGGGTGAACTATATAAGACCCACCACTGCTGCTGCTGGCTAACCAACCATATGAGATCCACTGTTGCACCTTCTCTACTGAGCTACATCTAAAACAAAAACTGGTATTTTTAATAAACCCCCACTTTTGAAAGTTGGCAATGTAAGAAAAGAAGAAAAAGAAGGAAAACTTTGCGAGTGATTCTGCATACAACACAGTTAATAATGCCTTGCCAGCACTACCAGGCAGAGTTTAAACCTGTGTCTCATGAGTGGTGAAGGAGGAGCATTATCCTTATCACAAAGCCTCTTAATTATGCTAATTTGTCTTTTCATTCCATATGGCACTACAACAGCTTGCTATTACAAGTGCAACCTAACAGGCTTTCTTAGCAAGCACTCTTTAATTTCTATAGACTCCTAAAAGGTATTTGAAAAAAAAAAAGTACAGCCCTGTACTAGTTTAAAGTACTTTCGGCCATCATTCACAGTTGAACTTTTCATTAACATGAACTGTGTGTGTGTGATATACCTCGCTCTCCCGGGGGGGCAATGCAAGACAAATACCGATATATTATTGACATGTCTTTTACTACCAGTTGAATAGCCAAACTGAGCTCTTTATTAACCCCTTCTTTTCTGCCAATTGAAACAGGTATTAACATGTGGTAGGAATGTACCACATTTATAGTTTATAGAAATGACGGGGTTCATTGCTAAATAAAATTTGGGATCTTGAGAGTAGACACCATGAGTTCATTTGTATTAATGTGCTCCAATTGTTGCCTCATTTGACCCTATTGCTTATAACTCAAATTCCTAAACTGTACCTTTGAATTCTTCAGTAATGTGAATGTTACTAGCCAATTGACAAACTAGTAATGAGGTAATTCATTGCTAATGCCACAAGCAGCACAACAACACTGGTAATACCTGGGGATAGTCACCACCAGAACAACCTGGTGATGATATCTCTACCACCAGGTTGTGTTAATTTGACCTCTAATTGTGAATGCCATAATAAACAATGATCCAGTAGTAATGCCATAATTAATGGTATGACCCATTGTTAAGATACAAACAAAAGTGACTGGATATTAATGCTATGATCAACTAAACATCCTGTGAGTGTTGCAATTAACAGGATAAGTAGAGGTTAAAGCAATAATCAAAAGGGCAGCCCGGGTGTTCATACCTTACTGTTAAGTCAAGTGCTAAAGGGGACTTCCTAGATGAGCAGAGAAATATGAGTGCTAGAAAAGGTGATGATGATGGACCAACATTGAGAGTTATCACATAAAATGTAACAGTTGCACAATATACACTAAAGAGACACACAAGATGTTCGTCTCAGACGACGACTCCGTATGTCACGAAGCTTCTCTACATTAATGCCTTGATACATTTAGAATTGACCCACTTAAACTCTAGCACATCTAGAAATTATGTCTGAATCAATTACAACAATAGTCAGTTATCTCTAGCTAATGACCAAACAGATGGTACAATATTGATGGAACACTCATTAAATTAATGGCAATAAAATGCAAATACCTGTACTATACAGCAAGTGGGTGAACAAAATGATCAGTTATTCACAATTATTACATGAATGACCTACAAAACCTGACCAAGGGTCAGAAAGTTTTCTGTGGGGATTCAATTGCATAACTAAATATGGAAACATGTGCCATGGTGTGGGCTAAAGCTTTTGAGTGAAAGTGATTAGCATCTTGCACTCCTCCCTTCCACAGTACAGTACTAAACTTGTCTTACCAAAGACTGTTGTAATGATGGCTTATGCCACAAAGATGAGCAAATCAAAATCTTGCCATGCACTAGTTTAGTGGGTTCTGTGTCATCCCAAGCACACATTTCACTCAAATGTGTGGACTCCAACACTGGTGAAAGGAATTTGATGTGTATTAAGCACACATTGTGCCAATGGTTTATTTTCATTCACTATCACATCCTAGCAAGATGTCACCAACAAAATTTGCTATGCATAAAAATGAATAAAAAATTACAAACGAGCAAGTGTTAAAATACAAGATAAATTGGTCAGAAACTCATCCTATTTTGATGATGATCTCTGTTTAATGGTTCACTTGGCTGATGCTCATTATTGTATAGTACTTCCATATTCTGAAGATCATCTATAATCAAACACATTTCCTAGTTAATAAACATATTTTGAGACTTTACACAACAAACTAGAGAGCATTTATGTAATAAAAATACTGTACGTAACTAAAACTTTATCCGAGCTTTGGTCTGTGAACAAAAACACTGATTCTCAGCCGTCAAAATATTCTATACTGTCTAAAACGCCTCTCTAACATTACATAGGGAGGCCACACCTTACAATTTCTTGAGCATTACAGTCAAAAAGTATTAATGGCAACAAAACAAAAAACACTTTCAATATCATACCTGTATAAAGTACACTTATTATATTCACCATTGTACTTGCACCATTTACACTGATCACATTAACTACTATACTGTATAATGTGCACTGATCATATTCACCACTGTACTGACACCATATACATTGACCACCATCTGCACAATAGCAATACTCACCAAAACCAACCAACCAACCCCACACACACACACACACCCACACACACACACACCACTTCAACTCTATCACCCACAATAATCATCTTTTCCACTATATCTGTACTTCCTCTATCCATCACTTTCACAATGTACCTGCAATGTCTAAATTCAGATCTTAACCAAAAAATTTACATCAACAACACTGATCATCCCTGTACAACTTACACTGATCAATAATTTCCCAAAGAGGCACTACAGAAAACACAGCTTTAATCTACTGTAGTGTGTTCATTTAAAATCATCAGTCAAAAGGTAGACCATAATTAAACAATGTATAATTATACGAGGAATAATTATCCCCCTAAATATAGAACACACATAATAATGATGCAGAAAATTGGTCCAAATGGGAATGTACTGTAATGTAAAATCAAAGCCTAACATCCACATTGCTCCTAGTGGTTGTAAATGTGAATTATTAAATATCTTTGTTATCCATAGTATTCCTTTATATGTTTTCCCAAGACAAATGATACTTCCAGCATCAGTAACATTAGAACAGTAAGATGCAACAAGATTCTTCTCATACTGTGTTATTTTCCTTGTGAACATCTAGTGAACAGTCAGTGACTAACTCGAGACCCTAATCATCAGAGAGCGATACATACCAAAAGTAACAAGAAAAATCAAAGTCAAAGAGGCAGCAAAATCTTCACAGATGAGATAAATTAGATAAAGTTCTCCAAGAGGGGTCACACCGGCATCTTATTATTTATATTCATAGTTACTAATGACAACAGACATTCTGCTTCATGACTGCAAAGCAAGCTGGTGAAATTCAAATGCAATTTCTGTGTAAAAGTGTCAATAACATTGACAAGATTTTTCATAAAATTACGTTAATTTAAGAAGAGACAGTTTAGTTATGTAACCATAACTTTGCTGTATGTTTGTCCATGTGAGTATCAACCTATGTACTTAAAATACGCTTTCAAACTCCTTTAAGAATTATATCTACACACTTTAACTATATGAACACACTAATATGAATTTGTAATCATTTTCATAATAAAAATTTGCATTATTACAGAATTACAGCAAAGCTTTTGCAATTAATCTCTTAGCACTTCAACCATTGAACAAAGTTGTCTTCCAAAGCAAAGTACAACAGAACTGTGGCCAGAAAGGTTGTTAGAAAACAAAGTTCAAGTGTAACTTACGCTGAAAGATAGAGTAGAGTACAGAACAGTACAGGTATATAAGTTGGCCATTGTGCTCATCTTCGTCACTGAACACAGCATCACCATATAGGCACAGCTTGTCACTACAAACTGCTACATTATGCAACACAAGAGCCAAAAATAGACAAAACTAATTTCTCATGAAAGCAATTATGAATTAAATTCTAATGTACTGTAAATAAAATTTTGACAAGTGTTTTGTCAATGGCTAAAAGCAACATCATGACAAAATATTGTTACCAAACATCTCATTATAGCAAATACATTTATTATAAAGTACAGGGTATTCTGGTTAAAAATTGTCACAACTGAGATTGTTGCTACAGGTCTTAACTATTCAACTGTTTTACCCCATTTATCCAGACCTACAGATTTTTATTATAGGCAGAAGGGCCAATGGTGTAGTCCATCTCGTCCCAATCATGAAAATCCACCTACAAGTATACTATATATAAATTCTCTCTTGATAAATATTCTTCCCAGCAGATAATTCCATCTCATCCTGGATAAATTCTGGTCTGTCATCCTCATTAAATTTGTACTCCCGGGCATTTTTTGGTTTTACAAAGAAAAGTTTGTGTTGCAATTAAAAAATTGTTTTGTTGCCGAAGGTAGAGCTTATCATAAATTTGTCCTCCTCCTTGATGAATGCCATCTATACCTGTCCATCAATAAACAGTGTTGTCTCTGGTTAATTTGGGATGAAGAACCATAGAAGCATTCATGTTAGTTCAGTATCTGTGGCCACTGTACAGTATATCTTCTCTCCAACCCTTGAAAATTTTAGTTTTGTCCAAATGGATATTTTTGTTTTTTATATCTAATATACATTCTATCTACAGACAGTACAATATAGTCTTGAATAAATTCTCTTATATTGTAGAGGAAAATTTTCCTCGACCTAAATCAATTTTGCTTTATCACATTGGATAACAGTATGGAGCTCCATATGAATGGACATAAATAAATAAATGAGAAATCACTTCAAGTTTTGTACAATACCTATGAAAGACTAGAAAAATTATAATTTTGTACAATAAATTACAAAGCATAATACTCATATAGCTATGAATACATATCTACGATGATTTACAAGTTACTTAAAACTCGGTCAGCCAGTTTTACACAGTGGTTACCAATATTCACACCACTAGCAATAAAAAAAATAGGAACCATTGGCTCCAAATTTATCTGAGAACACAATTCAAAATCATGGCAAATTCTAAAAAAAAAAAAAAAAATATCCAAGAACGTTTCCTACCAATGGACTTCATCACAAAAAAGTCTAAAACTCATCATTTAATTTTTCAAGCATGGCTCTTCATTTGTACTACCGTACAGTGCCAGTACAGTGTAAAATTATCACTGGTTGTACTGTACTACTACCCTGTACTATGAAACCAATTCCTATAATTCTCTCAAGACTCTGCCTCAACCAAAAAATAATTAGTAGTGTATCTGAAAAAACTTGTTAAACTGATGCAGTACATCTTAAGATGACCACTCATAACTTCCAACACCTTGGATGAGTCATTTCATAGCAGGCGATCAATTATCAACGCACGCACACATGCACACACACTGTTACACTCGAGAGAGATGAAACAGAAAACATTGAAAACAATTCATATTCCATTTATCAAAATACTAAAAATTTAATAATAAAAATTATGAGACTAGGGAGAAACTAATGATAAGCTAATATTATTATTATTATGCTACAATCTCAGCATGCCAAACCAACCTTCATCACCAAGAACAATGTCACTTCCTACAGCACCTCCAACTGAAGAACAGTTTGTACTGTATCAGCTTTACATCACTAACTGTGTAGCACATAATGAACAGTGATAAAGCCACATTAATTTGTTTATTCTTAATGCAAACATATAGGGAGAAAATAAATCAAGCAGCACTCTTTGTGATCACTTGGTCAGCATGATACAGTAACCTTTACCATCATGACTTGGTCAGTTATGGTAAGCCTCATGTGATCAACTACTGTACTGTTGTCAATTATAGAAAACCCTGCTTTTTGATCATCCAATCAAATATGGCAATATTCTTTGGATCACCTTGTTAGGTATGGCAACCCTTTTATGATCATCATGCCAGATATGTCAACAATATTGTCCTTATCTAGTTGGGTATGACAATCCTACTACATCATCACTTGAGTGTGGCAATCCCATTATATGATCACCTAAGGAATCCCTAGTATGATCAACTAGTTTGATATGGCAACCCTGATGTGATACCTGGTCAAGTATAACCCGAAGTTGGGTATGGCAAACCTACTCATAATCATCTGCTCAGCTGTAGCAATCCTGCTCTGTAATAATCTAGCAATCAGGTCTCTGATCCCTGGTCAGGTGTAGTAATCCTCCTGATAAGGTGCAAAAACCTCTTCTGTGATCACTTGGTCAGGTATGGCAACCCTGCTATTTCATCTAGCAACTCAACCTTCTGATCACCTGGTCAGGTATGACAATCATGTTCAATGATCACCTGGTCAAGTGGAGTACAGCAACTCTCCACTGTCAACACCTGATCAGTGATCACTTACTCAGGCATGGCAACCCTCCTCTGTCATCACCTGATCAGGTGTGTCAACCCTGATCTGTGATCACTTACTCAGGCATGGCAACCCTCCTCTGTCATCACCTGGTCAGGTGTGCCAATCCTGATCTGTCATCACCTGGTCAAGTGGAGTACAGTAACTCTCCACTGTCATCACTTGGTCAGGTGTGCCAACCCTGATCTGTGATCACTTACTCAGGCATGACAACCCTCCTCTGTCATCACCTGGTCAGGTGTGGTAACCTTACTGTGTGATCATGATGCTGACTTTTTAGGAGACTTTGCTGGGGATTTTGCAATTGGTGACTTGGCAGCAGAAGACTTAGCCACTGGGGACTTAGGCTGTGGAGACTTGTGGGGAGCTTTCCCATAGGGTTTGCCACCAACACGAGGGGAACTTGGAGAAACAAGGGGAGACGATCCACGCGAAGTAATTTTTCCTTGGGTATTCTTTGTGATGGCAAGTGTAGTAGGATGTTCTAAGCTGGGAGTGGCTGGAGGAGACGTGGAGGGTGTGCTGTTTGTCCGCTGATGAGATTTCTTCTTGGGACTCCCCTGTGGACTACGAACTGACGGTTCTGGAGAATTTCCAGGCTTGGAAAGAGGAACTGGAGGAGGCATGTGGGGGATTATCAAAGTCTTCATCTCCACAAATTTTTTCAAAATTTGATCCTGTAAATATTTGCATACTTAAGGTTTAATAAATTATGAAGCCAAGGCAATATATATATATATATATATATATATATATATATATATATATATATATATATATATATATATATATATATATATATATATATATATATATATATATATATATATATATATATATATATATATATATATATATATATATATATATATATATATATATATATATATATATATATGTGCACCGTTGCCGTGCTATTTAAAGATTAGTAGGGTCATTACCTAATACCTGACCATTGTGGACCTGACCTCACCCTCCTCTGTATATATACACCTTGTTTTGTACTTCTCCTTAGTCTGTACTCACCCCTGAAGATGTGAATTACACGAAAGCGCTTGGGAACTTCATGTTTTCTTCTTTCCTTGTGGTTATCAGCATATACAGTCAACCCTCGCTTTACGCGGTCCCACTTTACGCGTTTCCACGTTTACGCGGTACCCTGCCGAAACCGGAATGCTCACTTTCCGCGGTGTGTGTACCCTTTTGCGCGGAGAGCGGCGCGAGCAAGGTGCTCACAAGGTCGCCCAGTCATCAAAACATTACCGAGTTCTTCACCCGCCACCCACCACAGCCGGCCCAAGTCGGTGATAGTGATAATGATAGTGAGGATATGGTTTTATATGGACTTTGAGGGGTTTGACAAAGAGGCCCTGCAAGCCTCTGTGGTGGATAGTGATACAATTGATACAAGTGATACAGGTGAGGGCTAATAATCTGCCCTCTGCCTCGGAACCAACGCCCCATCCCCGTGTGCCCAGCCATCTTTTCTACTAATGTAAGTGTTAAACAACCTAATATTATTGATATTTCTCTTAATTATTAATTGTGTGTGCATACCATCATAAAATTAAGAAGTTATTTTTACTACAACGTAGGTATTGTGTCTGAAAAAGTGGAGTTTGGGGGTCGGCCCGGTCTCTATTTCAATTAATCCCATATGTTATGTTGTTCACTTTACGCGGGCCGCCGTGGGTTGAATTAACCGCGTAAAGTGAGGACACACACACACACACACACACACAAACAGTCGGCCCTTCACATACGCGGGTTTAGTATTCACGGATTCGCAAATACGCGGATTGCCCCGCCGGAGGAATATTCTGTACATTGAAGTAATTGAAGTACATTCAAATCGCGCGCCATTCAACTCGCGCGTGGCACCGAACACGGGACACCGTGAGCTCCCGCAACCTCTCACACACGCATAGCACGTCACGCCACCCCACTCTCTCACTCAGTCTCGCTGTAACCACGCTTGTGTTGACATCAGAATTGTAGTTGCTACGCTTGCTACCCACATTTACCATGGCCCCTAAAAGAGCATCAAAGACACCAGCTGGAGCCACCCCTAAGCGCCAGAAGAAAGTGATGACTCTGCAGGAGAAGGTGGAGTTGTTGAATAAGTTAAGGGAGGGAATGTCGTTTGCTGCTGTGGGGCGACTGTACAACGTGGACAAAAGCACCGTACGTACCATCAAGAAAAAGGAAAAAGATATCTGTGATGCTGTAAGTGCCAGTGCTCCACGCAGTGCTAAGCATGTCAGCCAAGTGAGGGAGAAGGCAATGGTGAAGATGGAGAATGCCTTGTTTTTGTGGATAGAGGACCAGCATCAGAAAGGTGTAGTAGTGGACTCTATCCTTATCCGGGAGAAAACTAAGTCTCTACACACATGCTTCACGCCTGCAGCTAAGGAACCCGTACCCAATACCAGTGCTGCTACCCCCACACCCGAGACACCTCAGACACCTCCGACACCTTTCCAAGCCAGCAAGGGGTGGTTTGACAATTTCAAGCGTTGATTTGGCCTGAAGAATGTGAAGATGACTGGGGAGGCTGCGTCAGCAGACACCATGGCTGCAAAAACTTTCCCAGCAGAGTTGAAAGCAATACTCGAGGAGCAGGGTTACAAGCCAGAACAAGTTTGGAATATGGACGAAACAGGTAAGACAATAAATTACTACTGTACATTTAACCTTAAAAATGCTCAAATACCTGTTGTACTGTACGTACTGTATTGTGTTGCAAGAGAAAACGGGATAAATGCGTCTGAGTTTTATCCAGTAGCTTTTATATTTTTATTCCGTAGTGATTTACCATACAGTGTGGTGTAATATTTTTATACCAATTTTGATACCGTATACTGTATGTATAATAGTACAGGGTGTACTACGAGTATTTTCTTTTCCAACAGGTTTGTTCTGGAAAAAGACGCCACAGCGCACTTTCATCGCCCAAGAAGAACGCCGTGCACCAGGATTCAAGGCAGCCAAGGACAGGTGCACCGTGCTATTTTGTGGCAATGCTGCGGGTCACCTCATTCGCCCAGGCTTCATATACAAGTCTAAGAAACCGCGTGCATTCAAACACCGCGACATGAGCTTGCTGCCTGTTTTCTGGATGTACAATAAGAAGGCCTGGACAACGAGCGACCTGTTTCTCAACTGGTTCCACCATTGTTTCCTGCCAGAGGTCGAACGCTACCTGCACCAGAAAGGATTGGAGTTCAAGATCCTGCTAATCCTCGACAATGCTCCTCGTCATCCACAGTCAGTGGAGGTGCTGCATGAAAAGGTACAGGTGTTGTTCCTTCCACCCAACACCACTGCACTTATCCAGCCAATGGACCAGGGAGTTATCAAGACGTTCAAGGCTAACTACAGTAAACGTGTGATGGCCAGACTGCACTCAAACTTAGATCATGATCAAAACCTAGATGTGCTTCAGTACTGGAAGAACTTCAACATTGCCGACTGCTTATCTTTGGTGGCTGAATCTTTCAAGGATGTGAAGCCTGAGACAGTGAATGCCTGCTGGAAATCACTGTGGCCTGAATGTGTGAAAGATTTCACTGGATTTTCTCCTGACGAAGCCATCGCAGAGGCGGTGCAAAAGACCCTGGCACTGTCAAGGAAAGTGGCTGTTGAAGGCTTCCAGGACATGGCAGAGGACGAGATTAGGGAGCTAATCGAAGAACACGACATTGAGCTGACCGAGGAGGATGTACAGGAGTTAGTAGACTCAGGCAAGGAAGAGGAAGAGGAAGCGAAAGGAAAAGAGGATGAGGAAGAGCACCAAGAAATAATGTTGAAGTTGGGGGAGATGACCAGGATGATTGAGGCACTGAAAAACCTGGCCTATAGTATGGACCCCTCCATGGTGCGTGCCCTGAAATTCATGCGAGGGATGGATGATGCTTTTGTTCCATACAAAAACATCATGGAAGAAATGAAAAGAAAGAGACGACAACTCCCCATCACCATGTTCTTTGGTTACCGAAGGAGAGATTCAACACCATCAATCGCTGGCGGCAGTGAGGAAGCAGCTGAATCCATAGTCGCCCCCACTTCACCACCTGTTATGGAATTGAGTGACGATGAGCCCGATGAGCCCCGCCCGGTCGCCGAGGAGAGGTACGGTACAGTAAAGTGAAATTATTATCTCATTTTTTAATAGCTTTTCTTGCCATGTTTATTGTTTGTAAAAATGCACAGCACAGTACAGTCATTGTTTTCATAATTTTATCCCACTTTCCACTGTACAGTAATATATACGTCATTTCAGCCAAAATATTACATTTCCATATTTATATCTGAGAATATATTCATTCAGTCACAGTTAAGGTAAAATATACTTGTGATGTAATATTTTAATGAAAATGCGGTATCGTAGTTTTCTTTTGTATCAAATTTAATTAACAAAGGTTGATGTTTCAAATGTAATGAACAAAAATTTATGTACAGTATCTATAAATAAACTTTAAAAAATGAATACTTTATGTTTTACATCGTCCTGTGCATACCATACCATGCATTTGGCTACTTTGGGCTAGCTATGATGACGCAAGAGGTCTGCCCTGGCGACTGTACCGACACTCATAGCTGATGGTGCATTGGTGCGTCGTTTCCATTGTTTACTGGTAGTTACTGGTAAATATTTTTCAACCTAACGAAACTATTACTCGTTTAGAGGTCGACCCCCAATTTTTGCCAAATAATTTGGTCTTAAAAACTCGAACTACACACAGGTATATACGGTAAATAAGGACATGGGGGGCCAGGGATTTTTTAGGGGGGGGCAGCAATAGTACACGGATTTTTAACATTCACGGTTATCTCTGTTACCTAACCTATATGTTAAGGGCTGTGTGTGTGTGTGTATATGTATGTATATATATATATATATATATATATATATATATATATATATATATATATATATATATATATATATATATATATATATATATATATATATATATATATATATTATATATATTATATTATATATATATATATATATATATATATATATATATATATATATATATATATATATATATATATATATATATATATATATATATATATATATATATATATATATATATATATATATATATATATATATATATATATACATATATATATATATACACATACAGTATTACCCCGCCTAACGCGGTTTCACTTAACGCGTTTTTTCATATACGCAGTGCCTCGCCAGAGCTGAACTTTCACTTAACATGGATTTTTTCCACATATACGCGGTGAGTGTCCGGCTCGAGACGCTATTTTTAGATTTGCCCCACCCGCCACCCTGCCTGACTGCCTGTTTTAGCTCATAAAATTCATACAAATTACCCGGCCAGAATATAATTTACATTGCTGGAATTCTTATAATTTGGTGATCAATTAGAATATAAACATCATATATTTTGCATTAGACATACAAATTTTAGATAAAATTTTTTCTCTGAGTAAATATGTTATCTTTTGTGCAAAATATATGACATTTATATTCAAAATATTCCTGGTCTTACAAGGAATCCAGCAATGTCAATTATATTATCCTAACTTTAGTTTGAGGTATTATTTATTACAAAAAAGTTAAATATTCTGGTTTTCCCACACATCTCCTTGGGACGGTTGGTGGGGGGTGGGGGGGATGGGAGGGACC